TTTTTTTTGTTTTCTCTAATCACATGTATGAATTATTAAACCCATTTTTAATGTTAAAAGGCGTAAGTACCTATTTAAAAATCGACCCTATTTACAATTTCGTTTTTTTTTAATTTTAATTCTAAAAATTCTGAAAAAAACGTAAAAGATTAAAAGTAACCTTTTCATTCGTGTAACCTAAAAGTAACCAAAGCAGTTCAAAAATCACCTAACAGGTTACAAAAGTAACCTTGTGGCAACGCTGCTCTCGTTCCTACCTACACACACTGACGCGGGCTTGGATTGGACTAGAGACGCGGGAATCGGGATTATAATGAGCCGGTGAACGACAGAGTAAAATAATATACCTATACAGGAGTTGGAGCGGTGAACTGTGGAACGATAATTCCGCACAGTACTGAATCAGTTCAGTTCGTTCACTGTGTTTGAGCAGTTCATCGGAACGAATCGCTCCGGAGTTACTCAAGCCTAATGTCAAAATTACCGGATAAACGAAATGTCATTTAGGCGCATTGATAAAATAAATATTTATTTTTACAATTTAAACGTAGTATTTTCTACGTAATTAATAATAAGTTTCTAAATTTCTACGTACAAAATGGAAACCAAAGTAGCAATAGTAACTGGAGGCAACAGGGGGATAGGATTCGAAATAGTGAAAGGGCTGTGCCAAAAGTTTGATGGTGTTGTGTATCTTACGGCAAGAAATGAAGAGAGAGGTCAACAAGCCGTAAAGAAATTAGAAGAATTAGGCCTAAAACCGTTGTTTCACATACTGGATGTTACATGCGAGAAAAGCATCGAAGATTTGGCTAAACATATTTCTACACATCACTCTGGCATTGATGTTTTGGTAAACAACGCTGGCATTCTAGACTTCGACAAAGCTATTTCTTCATATGAAGACGCGAAGAAACTTATCGATACCAACTTTACGAGTTTATTGACTATATCAAGAATACTCTACCCTCTTCTTACAAATACCGCCCGAATAATAAATATTAGCAGTGACTGGGGCTTACTGTCCAATATTCGCAAACAAGTATGGCTAGACAGGCTGGTAAAAGATGATCTTACTGTTGAACAAATTTTGGAGTTTGTCAATGAGTTTTTAAATGCAGCCAAAATGGGAAAAAGTGCATTTTTTTCCATAGCGGGCAAATATGGAGATTATAAAGTGTCAAAAGTGGCTATGTCTGCATTAACTTTTGTTCAGCAAAGACAATTCCGTGAAGAAGGTAAAGACATTTCTATAAACTGTGTCCACCCTGGATTTGTGATGACTGATATGACCAAAGGCATGGGTGACTTTACCCCAGAACGAGGTGCAAAGGCTCCATTGTACTTGGCACTGGAAGCACCTCAGTCACTAAAAGGATCATTTATATGGCATGATTGTCATCATGTTAACTGGGATGACTAAGGATGTAATAGCTTTTTAAATTGTTAGTGTTACAACCATGTTACTCCTGTGATATCAGTGTCACATGCACTTTAAACTAAAATACATAATTTCTTTTAATAAGCATGTTTTCTTTTGTTACTTAGTATTTATGATATATATCTATCTATATTTTCCTAAATGGAGGTTGTGAATCATTTAAATAACAGCTTAAATTTTGTTCAATGAAATTCTTAAAACCATTTGATTTTTATAAGACACATCATAATTTGTGAAATGATGGTGTTGTAAACTTATTTGTTAGTGAAAAATATAAAAAATTAAATCAATGATATGTTTTTTTTTACCATCATATTTTTCATTGGTTTATAATTTTGTTTCACAATCCTTTCATTGAACCTTATTTATCTATGGCATTACGAATTATTCAAGTACCCTCATTAGAATGACCTAAAAAGTAGTGTTCCCATTCCGCTTTTGGTTTTCATTTTTTGGGATAGAAGGAGGAAAGGATGGTAAAAGAGCAGGCTGGCAACACAGTGCAGTCACAGTCCACTGTATGTAAAAGTACCTAAGTATGTAGTCTGCATTTGTGTGAGATTTTTTGTTTCACCGTTCAGGTTTTCTGTAAGGCCGTGACATTCCGGTCGGGCCGACCTATTTGTGGTGCCGAAGCAAAGGTCTCCCACGTGGGATTCTTAATCCTATTCCTGTTATTAGATTTTACGTTAAAATGTTCTAAAGATAATACTGATGCTATTAACACTTCATAAAGAATATAATTAGGTACAATTTATTACCAATTCTACCCCCTTCCAATCTAAATCTACCGTATCAATCATAAGTTCGATAAGACTTAATACCTATCTATCTACGGCAATCTTAATCTCGAAGTATAAATAAGTTGGCCTGTAGGTTAACAAGATATTTTGTGTTGTGGGTGTGGATACTTGTGTAAATTATAATAAATCAAAGAACAATTCTAATTAGGTAGGTACTTTGTAGATAAACAGTTTTATGATAACCTTTGACAACGCAATGCTTTGCTTATGACTTCATTATTATTATCATATTATGTACAACTTACAAGTACGTACCTACATGGATAGTATAGTAATGAGGTTATTGACATTTTTTTACTTAGATACAAAAATAATAGAATAGAGGTATAACTTACGTCGCACGTGTTTAAATCTCCGAAAGCGTATCACTAGTCTTTTTTTATGGAATATGAGGCAAACGAGCAGACGGATCACCTGATGGTAAGCGATCAGCGCCGCCCATGGACGCCCGCAACACCAGAGGAGTCACAGTTGCGTTGTCGGCCTTTTAAAAAGGAATACGCTCTTTTCTTGAAGGTTTGAAGTTCGTATCGGTTCGGAAATACCGCCGACGACGAGACATAAACTGGGTACAATTCTAGGTTTTACCAACTTCACTTCCGACTGGCAATCAGAGACTTACCTTTTAGACTTACCTAACTAGACCTTTTTCAAAATTTTCGCCCGTGGTCCAATGACACTTAATGATAATAAACAATTGCGAAGTTAGGAGGAACTACATTATGGAATTGAATATTCTAGTTCTAGAGAAAGGTAAGCATTAGGTACTAGGATCTACCTACCTAAGTACCTAAATTCGTTAAGATTAGAAAAAAAAAAATGACACCCATTTTGGCAGTGCTTTATTAATTTCCTTCTTTAAACATGGCTTTAATCTTACCTAAAGGAAACGTCTATTGAGACTGCCTTTTTGCTCGACTTGGCCGTAGCAGATAGGCGCTTATCTACTTTAACCTTTGGGCATTAGGTACCTAACTAGTCGGTACCTATGCTTTTCTGCTCACGGGAAACATGCTTAGATAAGTATTCATTAGAAAGAAAGACAAACAGTTTATTAGCACCGTTACAATAACTTACAAAAGAACAAAACAATATTCAACACATGTGCTAGACATTAGACGTAAGTAGGTAGGTAATTTAATTTCCTTGTATCCTACATAATAATTATATTTGTACTGCGATTTACCATTAAAATTAAAACATTTTAATGTTTATTGTTTCCTACCTACGTATAATAGAGGTAGGTAGGTTATCAATCTTTTTATTCCTACTTAACTACTTAGAGACTGTAAAACATGTTTGTTTCAACTTGTTTGTATAACAAACACGCCACAAATCGCGGTTACTCTTAACAACAAGAAAATATACTACCGGCAGAAGACTTTGTACGTGTGTTACAACTGATTCCACATACACTGAAAGTTCTAAGAGTTGAATTAATGGAAGCATTAATAAAAGAGCCCCGCTTAGGACAAATATTAAAGTAGCGACGTAGCACCGAGTTTTTATAGCAGTTTTATTCATCGAAGTAGTTTTATTCATCGAAGTAGTTTTAAACAACGCATAAAGAATATTTGTGTAAAATATAACATTTACTACAAAAGGAACAAACAATGTAGAGACATCTATTACGTAAAATACTTCAATAAGCAATTGTGCCGTTTCCTGTGTAAAATATTTGGTTGATAAGAACATTGCACTAGGAATAATTACACTACTAATAAATACTAAGGTTAGTGGTGCACCCCATGCAAATAGGGTACTTTTGAGATACCTCCTGTTAACATTAGTTACAAAAACTTTAACAATATCTACATAAAAAATCCAACACAGGACTGTTAGCCAACAAAACACAACTAACGCCAAATATGAGACAACGGCCTCATAGACTAGTATTGTCCATAGCTCTGGCGGGTCACCATCGAGTTCATTGCCGTAGTTAAACATAGAGCTAGCAATAGTATGTTGTATTGTTATATCAACTATGTTTAAAACTATATTTGCAAACATATAGTTAAGTAGAACGAAGTTTTTAAAGTGGCGAAACTTTTCTATCATTTTCCACGACACTGTGCCAAATATGAAAACACACACTATTAGAACAAACACAGCATAATCAATGGGCCGAACCTTCTCAATGATCTCAGGAATAATTTCGATTTCTGTTCGAATATTATGTAAGCTGCTATTCGTGGCAGCCATTATTTTGACTTTAATATGGCGATTTACACACGGAATCACACGGTGTGCTACACTCAATACGTAGTTACGAATGTACCTATTTACGATTATATAAAAAAGAAGTCCAACTAGTTTTTTGAGAGGTAAATTAAACAAGTTTAGAGTTGTTGATCAACAATCTAAATCCTGAGATTCTCTAATAAGATAACAGGTTGAGCTGTAGTTAGTAACTGAAGAGTTGTATTTAATGGGGGCTACTATATTTATGATCACCAGATGCCACTAGTGCGAACCTCTCGTTTTTTACCCAATAGGAAATTAGCTAGTGTGACACCATTGGACGTTCAATATTTGACAGCTGCAGTGATTGAACAAAAAAAAACACCAACTATATTTGCGCCATCTGATTTCCAATAACGGTAGCCCCATTTAGCGTTACATAGGTATATCTATACAAGGCCTAGAACTATAAAATATATAGAATTATCGGTTCTGCAGTGTGCAATGCAATGCTGAATGTAGTCCTGGCAATACCTACTTTTTTATATATTTGATGGGCTGACATTTGACCACTATCTCGCCTGGTGGTAAGCGATGATGCGGTCTATGATGGAGCACGTCGTCCCATAAGCAACCTATTCACGCGGGCCTTGAAGACACCCACCCAAACCCTTCAGGAAATACAGACTCTGGCAAAGAATTCCACTCACAAGGAAGGTTGAACTGTGGATAAAATATGAATAATGGAGAGAAAATACCTTAACATTAAAATTAACTGAAAAAATGTGTTATTTATGTCCTATTTACGAAAGAGTTTTAAGTAAATAACTAATATGCGTACTAATATACATAAATACATAATGTGTTTTACATAAAAATCCTATCAATATTTGGTGCTGTCCCCCATGTTTATGTCCGCCGCCCACAGAAGCCGTACATCACAAATATGAGGCATTAGCTCCTTTGTAGAACACAACCCCTTTACACTACACTATTACGATTTTATAATACAATTTATAGGCAGTAAGTAAGAATCCTTACAAGGCGCAGCTTGTGCATTGGAACTGCCGTAATGAGATTTGTTGCTAAGTAGATATCGAAGGGTTGACACCGATAACTAATATACATAATTATAGTATATGTGGGTAGGTATATCTATAGCCTGCTATGACTGCCTCAGTGGCTGTGTGGTCGCGAGTGCGACTGCCGGGCAAGGGGTCTCGGGTTCGATTCCCGGGTCGGGCAAAGTATTACTGGGTTTGTAAAAAAACCCCAATAGTAGCACGGAGTCTGGAAATGTGCTCGGTATACGGCAGACGGCAATGCTCACCCCCTATTACATGGGACTTATAACATAAATAGTGAAAAGTGGGTGTTACATTGTAGTGGGATAATGTGCACCTCTGCCTACCTCTTCGGGGATAAAAGGCGTGATGTTATGTTATGTTGTATATCTATAGCTTGTTTATTGTATAGGTATATCAATGCCAGGAATCTATTATTATTGGCCGCTTGATATAGACAGAATATCATAGAACCTAACTGATAAAGCATGTTGTGTGATATTTATTGTAATAACTGCATGGTGTCTTAATTTTTTATGGGATTGTCAACACCCTAGGAATTACAAAAGTTCGTTGCCGGCCTTATAAAACGTAATACCAACCTACACACGTGATTAGTGGTTCCACATTAATTTAAATGGTTATAATTTATTGGTATAATTAAAATATTAGATCACGCTGATAAATAGTATTATGAGTTAAAATTTCAAAGGAAATCAGTCTTGAGAAAGTAGGTACACTTAATCACTCTAGTTACCTGAAAAACAAAAATGTTACCTATGTTTCGTAGACTGTGCTACGACGGAATATTATGCCGTCGTAGAGGCTATGCAACTCCTAAAATCGCAAAAGGACACAGAAAACCTTATTTTATTTTCAAAATAGATAGTTTAATCTTTCATTTAAGATATATGAGAGAATTTGACTGTGTATGCAATTTTTTATAAGTCTACGTAAAGTGAAAACAAAAATAATTTTAACATTGAATAAGTAAAAGTCCTGTGCAGCGTAGAACCTAAAATTGGGTCATAATAAGCCCAATAAAATGTTTAATAATTAAACTAAATAGTAAGTAATTAGTAAGAAATTAAACTAAATACTAAATAATTAAACTAAATAGTAGTATATATCTTGGAAATTCATGTCCCAAAAATCATCAAAAATAATTTTTCTAAATGTGTCGTTACTGCGAGTGCAACGCAATGGTGTGTTTACTGCGGAGTTCAAAAATAAGAGATAATTTGATAAAAAATTGCATTTATGAAGCTATACCAAACTATACCAAATACAAGACATAAACTTCGATTAAAGCAAAGCGAAAGCTTCGCATTGGTTTGCTAAGTTCCCTTTTTACTTACATCGCACAAGGAGAAACTAGGGATAAAAGCCAGTCCTTTTTACGTGGACTTTGACTTAGCGAATATCTACTATTTATGCACTTACCTACCTTTTTTTTAAGGGGGGAAAAGCATCGAATGACTGCTCCCGTCTGGGTGAGGCGGGAGGGAGTGTCAGACTCTTACTGACTAAAAACCACCCCGTTCCGTCGCCTGCGCTTCGATCCCGAGCCCCGGTAACCTGTTAGGTTCTCCGCGACATACTTAACTACATTAGATCTACAAAACTATACCTACTTAAATATTGTTTTCATTAGACATTGTAAACATGAAAACATGAAAAAAATAAAGCACACATCAACTCATTCATACTTTCACGAACATGTTTACAAATATCTTCTCTAGACAATGTCATTCGATTAATAAAGCTATTAAAATAATTGAGTCGACGAAATTACAAAATTCTTTTAGTGCCACATACAATATCTACAACAGAATTGATAACTATCACGCGACACTCGTTATTTTGATTTCCTTGGTTGTTACATTACCTCTTGAAATGAAAATGCTTTGATAAACACGATTAATTCCGAATGACTTATGTTAGTTCGTGTGTACGCAATGTTCATTTCATATCCCGTAATTGTTTGTTTAAGTGGCGGCGTCTAGTGCCGGCGTCGATATCTTTCAGTTGATTGTTGATTTAATTTGGATACTTTGATACTAACGTTGGCATGATACCTTTTTCGAGGACTTTTTTATTATTTGACGACTAACATACTATACTTCATTTAGCTTCTACCAGCGGCTTCACCCGCATTCTGCGAGATATAAATTGGCCTATGTGTAATTCTAGCCCATAATCTACATCTGTTCCAAATTTGATCTCGATCCCTTCAGATGTTCTAACGTGAAAGAGTAACAGAAACACACACCTCCCCCACACACACTCCTTACAAACTTTCGCATTTCAATATTTAAGATTTAACTAATTTTATATTGGGATATGTAAAAATGTAGTGTAAAAAACCTAGAAAGGCATTAATCATTTTCAATTTGAAATTAAACATTTATATGCCTATGTATAAGTACTTACGGATTAACCTATATAGTGATTTCTTAATCTACTTATCGGATAAGCTAGATTAGTACGTTTTCTATCTAGTCTCTTGAGGAATTCGGAGCCCGTGAATGATACTTAGGTACCTATGTTGTTTATTTGTACCTACTTAACTACCTACCTACAAAAAGGTGCGTGATTTGAGGGAACGTAAATTAATTTAACATAAGTAGTAGCAATTTTCAATTTTAATAATCTTATATCTTATACTATTACATAAAGCGAAAGTGTTTGTTTTTTTGTTTGTTTGTTTGAACCCGCTAATCTCCGTATATTACTACTCCGTAGATTTGAATAATTCTTTTTGTGTTGGATAGCGCATTTAGGTATCGAGGATGGTTATAGGCTAAAACATCACTAGAAGCGACGACATCGCGACCAATAGGAGCTGAGCAGAGCGTGTGAAACCGCGCGGAAGTAGCTAGTATTATATAATATACATTTGTGTAATAGTTATATATTATTGGTATATATATGGAATCAATTTTCTAAAAAAGCGTCTATTTACATACCAGATGTATACCTACTTAGGTATCTGTATTATATTTGTCGAGACTTGAGAATGAGCAACTATATTAAATGTTTCTGCAATTAAGTTTTACGTTTAATGCAAGAAGCGCCTAGTACTTTGCAAGTTGCAGCTGCGGGACATAGGTGTGTGTTGCTAAATAAAACATCAAAGATATTTCATAAATATTTATATTGAACTGGCCTTAATAAATTACAACTTAAACTCAAACTTATCAAATGACTGACGATACCACTTTCAATAAAATGGGTATTGATAATTTAATAATTTTCTATAATAATGTGTCCAAAACATTGAAATTTAGTTTGACGGTTTAACCGTAATGCTTTACCGTGAAAATTTGGTATTATAATATTATACAAGGGTAAAGGGGTGCTTATTCTAAACGCCTCAATAATGTTGTTCACATTATTCAGTCACATTCCAAGTCGTAAAGTATGGACGAATCAATCGTTGCCATTCGTTGCTGACCGCTGTACTCTCTCTTTGGTGTTCTAGCCGTTAAGTCTTCACGTAACAACGTCACTTTTACATATGAAAACACGCGACTGTATAGCTATACCTATCTAAATATAATAAGGTACGTCTCATTTTTACAATAGTATATAATTTCACACTTCAATTACATTGATACAAAACACTTATTAACCGCTTTTAATTCACAATCGAAAAATAATGTTTCAGTTTAGTTTTTAGTGCAGTCTCATACAAGAAATTAGGTATAGCCTCTAATGAACTAGGTATGTCTATATTTTTCAATATCTATAGAACACAACTTATATCTAAAGTAAATGCATTATGAAAAAGTATAGGTACATTAATAATTGCATTCGTTTACCTAAAATGGTGACATAATTATAATGGTGCCGTGTAGCCATCTTAAACGATATTTTTAAGCTATATGTCGACTATAATATAATATTAACAATGGTCGCATATCGATAAGATGGCTTAAATACTTAGGGTACACTTTTCTCCAAAGTACGATTTGTGGTAACAGACCAAATATGTGGTAACACGTGAATTTCTCCTGTGGTAAACCGGTATCATCACTTGAGATTTTATAAATAATGTTTTCAAAGGACTAATAATTTAACACTTGCTAAACATATAATTAGGATACCTATATTTATGAAAAAAATATATTTTATACTACACGAACGACATTAAGCGTTTTGATTAATGTAAGTAACAAAATGACACAAGTGTACTTAACAATTCGAGGCCAAGATGTGGCATTAATGTAATACATAAAGGAATATTGGCTGCCAACTATACGGAATAAATATACCTACTAAGATATACGACGCCTATTTAGTTCTAGTCTAAATAAATAAAGCGTTTCACACTCGACTAAATAAGACACTTTACTTTGGTATTAATAGACTACATATTACTTACTTACTGTTTACCTGGTTGCTGTCAAACAGTTGATGAACAAACTGTTCCATTCTCTATGTTTATATCACTGTGTCAGGGGACGGACATAATAGTGTTTTATACTAAAAATATACACATCTATCGAGCTACAAGAAGTTCGATTTAGAACCTGGGTAATAAGTAACACCACATTGTTCAGGTTCTACTTAAGGCACTAAAAGGTAACAATTAGAATTATTTACACAATACATAGACAACTCCTATGATACAACCTTCCGATTATGTAACGCAATAAGTCTTTCTCGTAACATTACTCTTGGGATAACTATTACTTATTTTGACTTTCGTTAACATTTTATTATACTGCTAGCAAACTGAAACCTAAGTCTGATAACTAATTTGCACTGTGATATTTTCAAAATAAGTTTTGTTTCACACCATCGCATCGTAATTGATAGACATTAATTTCAGAGATTAAAATAATGTGCTGGATCCAAGACAATTTTAGTTGGTGACAAGGGGTGTGAGGGGTGCTGGTGATTCGTCTCCGTAATACCTGTAGCGGTGCGGAATCTGCAGAGTGGTGGAGGGTTCGGCCACGTCAGAGTGCTGGGAGTCGCGGTGGCGACGCAAGTCTACCTTGCGCTGGAAGGCCTTATCACACAGCCCGCACGAGAATGGCTTGTAGCCAGTGTGCTTGCGCATATGGGTGATCAAATTAGAGCTCTGACTGAACGCCTTTGAGCACACTACACACTTGTGCGGTTTCTCACCTGTAACAAATAAAAATAGTTTTGTAAAAATTGGTGTAATCATTTGTTTTGGAGTGACAATTTTCATAAGAGGTCTACACCTCTACCTACAGGCACCTACGTACAGGCAAGTAATATTTTTAACTAGCCCTGCATAAGTACTTCTAGGTCTCCACGATATTAGGATCGTTAGAAAAGTCCAATTTCTAATTTATAAATGACTTAAAAACATTACGTATCACTTCGTGAAGTAATTAAAGCTTGTTTAAGTGGACCAATAGTCGTCATAATCATCGGTTATTTATTATTAACGGTGAGGTTTCCGAACTGATTTAATATGCAACGTCGCCTTGTACACCGGTATTTATTAACTTGAACGATAATTGTTTGTAGCTCGATATAACGATATAACACTAACCAGTTTCGTAAAACTTTATTATTCTGTGGGTATGAGGACACAAGGATCCCCATTATTTAGCATTATTTATTTGTGTGTTGAACTACTGAATCACATTTCAATGTTGACGATAAACTGGAAATTTACTTAAAATCTCCAAAGATAGTTTCTGAACAAAATTATAGCAAAAAATGCAAATGTCATTTTATAGATAGAACAGGATTTAAGTTTACTTTTTGTGTGTACCGCGATCGGCGCGCACGTGAAGGGCTGTGAAGGCTGCGCGGCTAATTGCAGGCCGAGCCGCATTTTGGAATATTGATGATGAGGCATTTATCGGGAGGACGAGCACCATGTAAGGCCGCTGTAAATCATTCGGAACAGGGCAGAGACGTGACGAGATGTCTCCGGCCAAGACAAATATGTCCGCCACATTTTTTAGCTACTATAATTCGTCTCGTTGAGCTTACTGGAAGTAGTCGGGCCATTGAAAAACGAATACGATATATACTTTTCTTACAAGTTGACGGTTTTTTAAATGATACCTACCTATATTCATTGTGTTAGCTAGTTTCATTGAAAGATGTTCTCTTGATATTAATTTAGATGTAAAACGTAATAATATTTCTTAACTGTATTAATCCACACTGTTAAGTAAAGGTGCTTTGCATAGTATATTTTTGCTTATTGGAAATTCATTAAGTGCAATGGAAGGGCTGCGATTTGCCGTCGAAAACGTAATTGCGGAGCATTTAAATATTTAATTCCGAAGGCATCGCCTGCGATGTGGCGTGTGATTGCTTTTATTGTGCCTCTGCCTATATGTTTTCCATTTAATGAACTTGTTCCAGTAGAGAAGTCTAGGCTATACCGCGGTTATAACACTATATCATGCACTTATACAGCTAAATAAATCGACGAGGATAAAGTCGGATAACGTCTTCAGCAGCTGTTTACTGTCATTCCGATTAAAAGGGCAATCGTTGGAGATTACCTATCATTACACGGTGGACACGAACGTACGTGGATATCGCAGGCGACTAATTGAGAAAGTAAAATTTTATGTGAATAAATAAATTAGCAGCTACTTGGTAATGGTACAAATTCTTATAAAGGACAACGATTGAAATTATGACGGTGAAGAATGAAATAATTATATCGGATTTCTTATCGCTACAACACATACTATGAGTTTTTACGTCGTTTAACTATCTTAGACGGTATCCTGGCAATGAACACCTTTTATTAAAGCCTTAATTCATGTCTTCAGACATATCTTCTTTAGAGATTGAAGCAAACAGGTACTACAAGCAGATGTTCTTAGATAGGTTAGCTTTATAGTTATTTCGCCCTACTTTTAAGTCAATGAAGAAAGTTATGAATTTTAATCATAATCTTTTAAATAGATTACTAACAAGTTTCCAACGTAAGCTTTAGGTAGAAGAAGAGGTAAAAGTTATAATTTTCTTTAGTTGAAAATTATTTAATTAAAATAAGATTATGTAGTGTACACTTAGTATAGATTTTTCATTGCAAAAAAGTCCTATATGTTAACATAAAGAGTGAAATTTCTAGAAATCAGAAGCAATTTACTTTGTTTGCTTCATCGCCCTTCATCGAACGAAATAATATTGTCAAGTTTGTTAGAAAAGCGAGACATTTAAAGTCGTGTTATCGAAACAATAACGATATCAAGGTAGCAATAAAAGTTTCAAACAAAATGATAGGGCTGCGTAAAGTTGTGTAATGAAGGGCCGAACTGACACTTGAGTTGACGAGTTACGTGAAACAGTTGTCATAATAATTTGAGTTTCACACTACTTGGAACAAGGCATATAATTTACTGCCTGTCCCAACAACAAAGTGTTAACGTCAAAACACACCTTAGATTTGTGTCGTCACTTTATAAGAATGTCTTCTATATTTTTACCCGACTGGTAGGAAGAGTATTGTTTTAAATAGTACTCTAGATACTCCTTTTGTTTTTATTATTATTTGTTTAATGAATCGTGTTTTAAAACGGTATTTTTAGTATCTGACACTTTGTATTAGAAAATGGGTTTGATCACTCTAATATTATAAATGTAACATTTTCTTTATTTGTATGTTTCTCCGTCAATCACATTTGGTATACTTATGTGATTTTTATCCCGATTAAATGCTCCCGTGGGATAAAACAGGAATATGCGCGCAAAGCCGCGAGTAAAAGCTAGTATTTTATATTACTAAGTACCTAGTAGTAAAAGTTAAGTGTAACAAAAGTGTAATGAAACGTCTTAAGTAGTTTGTGTTAAGGTTTATCGAAACCCTACTTATTGAGGTCATACAACTATAAACTAGTATTCTATCTATAAATACATTCCTACAGTTATTAGTTCACCGAAGGCACTATCTCTTCAATTGTAGGTCTCGTCACACAGCGAGTATTTTAAAAGCCAAAAAACGAAAATACTTATACTTAAAGTCCTTGAATACATTTAAACAAAAATGTTTTGCGCAGTTGGAAAATGCAGCATATGCGCAACTACCTACTTTATTTGTATAAACACATGTATGTACACTTATCAGCTTTAATTTGTGTTGAAGTCAATGATTTTATAATATTTAATACATTTTATTTTGTTTAAAACATTGCTTTTCAGTCTTTCCCTTGAGGTGTTTAATGGAAAAGTCACTTTTGAAAGATTAAAGGATCTTCGGAAGATTCGATTTACTATAATCATGATAGTTACGTTTTAAATATTATAGAACATGTTAGTACAAAGACGCCCTCTGTCTATTAACTACCTGGTGGGTACTAGTACCCACCAGGTACAAAGCGCTAGCGCTTTGTCCGCGTCGTGTCACAAAGAGCAGAATTAGTGTAGATGATTAAATATGTAATTACAAACCTGTATGTATGTAGGTATGCTTCTTCATGTCGGACTTCTGGTGGAACCGCTTGCCGCAGTACTGGCAGGGGTAAGGCCGAGTGTCCGAGTGGATCAGCAGGTGAGTGGACAGCGTGCTCGACCGCTTGAAGCACTTCCCGCATTGCTTGCACTAGACAGACAAGACAACCAGCATAAAGTTATTATATCGTACTATTACAACCCTCTAATAAAGCCGTATTTATTAGATACCCGGCGCCTGCCACTCTTTGATGATAATAACCCTTAATAGCTCCCTTTGACTGACGTGTCGTGTATTGCAATTCTGTATCATTTGACCCCAACAATTGCCAAGAAATCGGGTGAAGTATAGCCAAGTGCGACACTAGATATAATTATAAACATGGCGCGGACAGCGTCCATCACGTTGTCGGACGGTGACAGCTAGTAATAAACTAATAACAGGGCTCTACCCCTTTCTACACTTTTCTTTGATTTCCCATCTAGCATCGGCTATGAATTTTTTTCCTTTGCCTAGTAATTAGCGTTTATTAACCAGTTATTACCCGCAGCTATTTTTCACGAGAACGACTTATTAAATAATAAATACTTTGAACGGAATTAAATATGGAAACCATGATACAATTATGTCATTCTATTGATTTTTGTTACAATGTGACGTGGATCGTTTTCATAAGGTGTAGATAACTAGATAGATATAATTCATATTAATTTGTTGTTAATTTCCCGAAATTAAATAACATTTAGCTCTTATCTTTTGCTTCAATAAAAGCATGTAAGTTAACTGGAACTAAATATCAGCATACAATTCGTGTGCCATGCTTACTTACTTCGAGCTTTCTATAAATTTAAATTCCTTTCGAAAAACATAATTAGTATTTAAGTTTCATGCGGAGCACGAACAGCAAACAATGTTTTATTATATTGCGAGACAAAAGATTTATAACAAAGAACTCGGTGTAACTTAGTTTTTGATTTATTTAATCAAGTGTTTTTGGTATGCAATAGAATAATATCGTTACTAACATTGTTTAATCTACACAGCACCAGATTAGGAATGTTTGACATTGTTTGAAAGATTTCACAATCCATAAGTTATGTAGAAAGCTTTCTAAAACTTCAGATATACTTAGTTACAAAACAAAAAGAAAGTACTAAAGAAAAAGTAGAGAATATGCTTATGAAGTAATAATTTCTGAATCAGAGGAAACAATGGATTACCGTCGTTGCTGTTCGCAGGATGATGGCTATAAAATATAAGAACGGGAAAATATGGTGTACGGCTATTAGTCGGGTGGTTAGTCGTTAAGTATGCGGCGCATGATAATCCATGGCACAAATCCGCGTAGCGGGCCCTGTGACAGTTGGCGGGGCAGCTGCACCGCCTCGCGCCTCACAAAAACCGCTACTTTTTTGGTCGCCTTTTTATACAATCGATGCACTCTCTTATAAACAACACAGGTGCTAGGGTATGACCGTCCACATATGGTTATCGGTTTGTACCACGTAGAGAGGTGATTTTTTATGAAAGCCGTTTGAATTTAAAAAATCTAGTGTCGTTTTTTTTCGAAACTGGCTTTTTATTAACGGCTTCGAGAAACCTGCTACTATCCCTAAGATTGTGGTAAAAACTGGGGACTGTTAATTGCACAATAACCGTTTTTTAAATGTCCAAAGTTTAATGTATTCTGTTATTCTTACTTTATTTCTAAAGAGCAATGCTTTTGCAATTGATACTAAAAACTGTAGTGTAGGCGATATTTAAATAATCATAACCTACCTATTTGAAACTATACGAATATTGTTTTGTATCTAAGTAGGTATATTGATTTGGTTATATTGTTATACCCAAAGAACTTTAAGTATGTACATATGTAATTATGTATATTATGTAGTTAACAGGTTAGCACATTGTAAGAGCGATTAAAAAATAAGTTGGCGGGTACGCTACTCAAAGTGATTAGACTAGTTAATTACTGCACCCAGTATAGGTGGGCATAATTACAATTATTTCCTAAACATTTAAGAATTAATGATGCACCTGAAAATCCTACAGAGAGTGTGTACTAAGTTAGTAAACAATGTTAACTACTATAAAAGTTAAACTTCACTTTTCAATTATATACTTTAACTTTATGCCTTGATAAGTATAATTTTATGTCTATTTAATTATCATTAAGCGTTTAGTCGTTTCAGTTTTAAGTTGTGGTGAAGCAAGCGACAACGCGTGAGTGGCGCGTGGCTCGCACGCGCCGCCCGCGCAGTCGAAGCAATGAGCTCCCGCCGCCCGCCATTGTTTTACAACGTGCACATATTTAATGTGATCATAATTACTATTTATTGCTTCGCCATAAATGACTAATTATTACCAATTAATCAATACAATACAGACAATCACATAAATGGCCCGTACTTTTTTCGTAAGGAGAAAATATGAATATTTATTAATTGCCTCGAATGATAACAATATGAATACCATTGCATCGCAATTAGTTAAACAAACTTAAAGGCTTATCATCTCTGTCCCTCTCCAGCGATACAGGTAGTAGTCGTGTCACTTTCAATTGGGCACGGATCGTCATCGATGATACCTAACAAACGCTCAACACTTTATTTAAATGATAAAGTGTGGCTTCGTGAAGTGGCTCGACAACATATTTATCGTCGTATGACACAAGGTAATTATTCGTCCAATTATAAACTGCCGCGCCGTGATATTAAAAGTTGGAATTTTGATTAAAACCGATGCGGATTTTTATAACGGCGGCACGTAGAAAAAACGAAAGGCACAAAAATGGCGAGAAGACGAGCAAGCAGGCTTCATGTGAGTCCCTGGCGGACGACGCGCCTGCGCCGGCGCATCGCGCGACCCGTTCCGATACGCGACTACTTATTAAGACAGGGGCAGTTTTTGCTATTTGATTTGTTAAAGAGACTAAAACTGATACTGGTTTGCTATTTTAAAGCATTTTGAACGGAAACTGTACAGTTATTCTGAACTTGTTAAGGGATATAGGTAAGTATCTATCTTGAAGCTGCGGCTGCGCATTCAATTTTATGCTATTGATTTTTAAACACTTACTTGGAATGATTTTTCATTTCTGTTTTCATTTTTGAGGAGTAGAGAGAAATTGAGATCTCCGGTTGGTGAAGGTTTGATTGGGTAGGTTTGATGCGCGGGTGCTGAGGGGCATCGTCGCGGCTCTGTGCTCGGAGGACGTTCAGCTTCGTCAGGGTTGCTGCGGCACCTCTTGACCAGTTCGAGAGGTGTGTCAATGTCATCATGTCCGTCCCATCGAGAAATTGGGGATTCTTCTCCAACTTCCACTTTTTCGCGCTCACATGCGCTTCCTGGTGACCATATTTGGCGATTTTTTGTTGATAAATTGAGAGGAAGTTCTTCCTCGTCATCTGAAAAGAATGATAAATTGTAACAAGATGCTTGTAGGATAGGAAATATATGATTATAATATGTAGTACTGTGTCAATAGAATGCTAAGTGTAGACAGTTTCACTTCGACTGTTCTTCACGCTTTTATAAGTAAATTTAAAGTCGGACGAGTCAAATCGGTCGTCTTTAGAGTGACTTATGAAATCTGTACAGGTGTGCCTGTATTTACCGACCGTTACGTCATTATTTGCTCTATAATACATTAAGAACTTGCATACAGTTTACTCTCGTTACATTCACGGAAGATGAAATTATATAAACTACCTCGAAGACGGTTTGTTATTGAAATGTTCTTGAAAATAAATTAAGCACATGTGTTGCAGACTATATACTGTACATTCAAGTATTATATACAAGTTTTTTAGAAGCATTACTTTATGTTTCGGTTTGTGTGTTCTGAGTGAATTCTTACTTAACTCAAAATACAAAAGTAAATGTCTAACCATACACCTGTACTCACGACAGCAGTTATATTCAGGGATGTGATACATACAAAAGTAAATTCTAACTACTTATCAATGCTAAGTAATAAAGGTTACTTTAAATTACAATATTATTATCGTCTTGAAGTTTTCAGCTGCAAATTCACCTCGTTATTTCACTTTCTACTATAGAATTAATTTGAATACAATTCGTGTTTCAAAACAACACATCGACGCTTAAATTTCTTTAAAAATTGATAGCAGTCAACATTTCCATTGTTCTTAATTAAATCTTTAAAAATAATTGTCGTTATCGGAAGCAATTAAACTTAGTGTGACTGTTTGAAACATTGGTGTCGAGTTACTAAATAAAAATCAAGTACTAACGCCCGGTTTATTTGTTATCGGCGAGGTTGAGTCGTAACCGGTTGACACGGATAAGAAACAATTAGAATACTTAACATTTTCGTTTGGCGACAATGAGTAGCTGCGGTACTTAGCCGCTTATCCTTGGAGTGTAGGATACGAAGCGCGGCTGCCGCTGCTTCCATTGGCGGAGGTAAACGACATGTAAACGACGACATATCAGCGGCCCGAGTTATTAATCGGTGCCTTACACTGATAGCTATTCTAATGAGTATTATTCAGGAGAAGCCGCGTAAGGAGGCCGAGGCGAACGGTGTTTTGTAATGCCTCGAACGTATCTAATTACCATTTTTAGGATTCTTGAAACACGTAAACACTTTCAGTGCGAGCTGATTTACTCTGTTTATATGAATTCGAATGTGACGACATGCGCCATACTGTATTAAACAAACATTAATTCGCCAGACTTTGATTTAAGCGGTCGTTTGATTTATAGTAATTGCAAATATATAGGTCAGTATTGACTGAATATGAATTACAATGAAATGCTAGTGACTTATGAACATACGAACAAATATAAAAGTACATACGTGAAGTACTTGTTACCTACTGACAACTGCATGTACAGACACTCAGACACATTGTTCTAGAATAAAACTGGGCTAACTCTGACTCACAGTGGATTTAAAAAACTTATACAATTTATTAACACGTACGTGTAATAATAAAAGTGAATATAACAACGTGGTACTGCATTTTATTATACATTTTGGTCAGGCGTTTAGTGGAAAACTTAAAGCTTAGATAAGCACAGTTTAGTGCAAGTTTTTCCTACGCTTTATAAATAAGAAAGCTTGTTTAAAGTGAATGATCCCATAAGCTGATGAATGATGTTATTTACCATCTCTGGGTGGTGTATGTCTAGCGTGGTCAATGGGTGGACGCACGAACGGTGGTGAGGCGCGCGGCATCAAGAGAGGCCAGACACCAGCGCCGCTGTACAGCGCTCCGAGACCACTGCAGTACATCAGGGCTCCCAACTCTGTTGGCAAAACACTCGCTAGTAACACAAGAGCCAATGAACAAATACTTACGTACTTATACTATAAATAATCTGCAGTTGCTTACCCGTAGCTCTAGCGTATTGTTTAAGTGCTCTCCCTGCAATCTCTATATCACCTAACTGAAGTAAATCTAGTCGATGATGTGAGAGAGAGTCAGGCGAGCGCGGGGGTGAATGTGGAGACGGTGGTGTCCGAGGGGAGATGCTGCCCTCCGGAGACGGGAACCGGTGAGCTGGCGGTGGCGGCGAGGACGGCTGGAACTGCTCTGCCAGCCGCGACAGCAGGACGTGCCGAGACATCCTCTATAGGTAAATATTTACTTATAAGTGCCTACATATCTACGAAAAACTAATCCTGAGATTAGCTACACACCGAGTTACATGTCTTATACAAAGATTTAGTTCTTAAATGAAGCCAGACGAATGACTTTACTTAGATTTATACGGCGTATTCCAAATAAACTCCACGAGTTTCTTAGGAAAGTAACATCCACAACATAAAAAGTACCATACCTATAAGGCTTTGGTTTTCACGAAGTATATTATACACAATATGTTATAGATAGTAAAGATTCGTTGACAATTAACACCTTCAGCACAACTGTAACTTTCATTTTGCATCCAATTAAAGCAAACAACCTGAGCTTTGGATTGTCATTGAGTATTACAGTGTTATCGATCGATCGCAGGGCACATTCTGCTTTCCCGTGGGAATCTTTAGTTTTCTGAAGAGCTTTAGGTACCCATACAACTGTGTAATAACCTGCATTATAAATTGTTGAATGATCATTTTATTTTTAAAATGACACAATTATTCATTCATAAAAAGCTTAAAACCCGTTAAGGAAAAACTGGATATCACAAGGATTACTCGCTTCTGAACGATGCTGTATTTAAAGTCAATGACATCTAGATTTTTTTCAAGGACACGCACTAAATCTCTAAAAATAGGCTTTACATCTAGACGTGGTCGTACCTATACGTAGACAATTAAGACTTGGCGTTAGACTATCAGGTTAATATGTTATTTATTGTCTTACTTAAAGACATATTACATTAATCCACATTTTCTAAACGATAACGTCATTGTCAGACGCCTTGTTCATGAAGACAACTCAATATGAGGGTAAGTACTGCGTTTATCAAGATTTTACGGTCAGCGCGGATCAATTCAAAAGTTGCGATATCATCTTTGTTTTACGTGACCGACGTCATTAGTGTCCATCCGACTACGTACATACGTATTTGTTGACGGCCCTTGCTGATTAATCCGACCGCTTGTTTGTTGACAGCGAATCGTATTAAAAGCTCAATCAAGCAAATGAAGAATCAGAATAATGGAAGTGGTCGGCGGAGCGAGCGGGCCGCGGCGCCCGCTGCGTACGCGCATTAATAATGCACGTGTCGAGTAAAACAATCTTCATTAGACTAACACACATTACATATTTACAGAATGGATGTCCGCGTGTTCCCATGCCATGCCACCGCGCTTCCATTAGGAATTAAACTCGAAGAACTCGCCACTGCCGCTGTACTGTAGGCGGAGACATTACATTTGTCCTCGTAAATTATAAATAATGATTCCGGACAATGATATGCGAAATTTCCTAATTACAATAATGCCCATAGAGAATCATTAACGTGTAGTATTCGTGTAGATATCGATCACACCCACGATAGCCACAGAGGGGCAGTTTAATTTTCTTGTCTTACAAATGCAAACCATTTGATTCGTGCTATTACTGCTAATTGACTAACAAGCTGGCTAACGCGAGGGTTGTGTGTCGCAATTTCTTGTTTCAATAAAGCCGAGCTTTATTTATTAGCTTGTGAGTAGCAATTACCTACCACGCGACGACTACCACCTATTTTTTTCCTTACGGTACAGTGGGAACTCGAGCAAATGTTAAGAAAATCAATCAGCGCAAAAATCGTCAGGAAAAAAATACATTTATGTTTTCTTTATTTGTTCACGTCTATTGTTTCTAGTGAATCTTATAATAAAGACACCTGCGTGTGAGTTACAAAGCGCTGCCGCCTTATGTTACCGCGTTTGATAGGAACAGGTGTTTTTGAAAAAGATTTAATCAAAATTCGGCCTACTATTTGAACAGATTTCTATAAATATCTGGCCATCAATGTCAATCAATGTTAGATTGAACAAAGTAGACTACAACACATTAACTAATTACATTTAAACCCACACGTTGAGTGCTGCACTTAATATTAGTATACAAAGGCTCGCAGGCTGCCGATACTGACTGAAAATTAATTATTTCATCGATATTCGTGGTTCCGGTATCACGGTGCAGGTTGCAAAGTAAATTGCGTTGTTCTCGTGTAATTAAAACGAGTGTTAAAGTGACTATGTGATCTGATACCAGTAAATTAATGTTTGCACATTTTATATTATATTTTAAATGTATTGTTAACTATTTATAGGCAAGTTAGTTTCACTTTCACATCATCAGTACTTTAAAATAAAAAGACAAACTGTTAATTCAAATTATTAAGCCTCACTCGAACAAGAACCGAGTCTGTCGTATACTGAAAATATTTCCCCGTCCGCGGTTTATCCGTTCGTTCTTGTTCAATATACTTCTAGGTACATATTAAACATATTGAAACACATGTACAAATTTATTTCGTCGTGTTTGTTCACTGCTATGAGAATATACTTGCAGATTATTTGCATGGCACTGCATCCACCAGATGTATGGTTTAGCGACTACGTATACAGAAGGTAAATTGATTAAACAAACATAGACGTGAGCAAATATATGTATGAAAAGTAGGACTTTCATGCTGGCCTCGCTTCCGTCAGTTGCGCATGATTTCAATTATTTTCAGTTTAGATTTAAAATTGGTTTATAGATACTACATTTAACCTGTTTTTGCTTTTGTGTTCTATAAAGAGTTAATGTTATTGATTTATTAATTGCGCTGAGAAGAAATTATGATTGAATTCTCGATGGTATTGGTCTGCTACGCCGCCTTTGTAAAATTGCTAGGAATCTATACATGCAAATTTGCACTTTTGGATACTGTAAGATTTACAATTATATTTGATTGGATATCAAACAACTATGACAGAAACAATCCAAAAATATAGGCTATAATTATACAATTAATGCTGGCTACGAATGTATTCAAACCTTATGAATAGTGATCTTTATAGCACAGTAATAATTCATAAATCACTGCTAAATTAGGCAAATTTATTTTATATTCATTTTGTTAAATATCTTAACTTATGTAATTGGGATAAATAAGTACGAATAATATCCAAACTTACCTCAAAAGGAACTTGTGAAGTGCTACGAAAATCTTTTTCACTCACTGCTACGAAACACTGTTGTTCTACGCGGCAAATATTTTTCAATCAGTCCAATTTACACCATACATGCAAAGTCATTTTATCAAACTAAGAATAATGAAATAAAATTAAATAAATGCAGCGAACGATATGACGTCGCGAAAATCGTAAGGCTGCGTAGGACCGGACAACGTCACTGTCTGGCACGGTGCGTCGCGTTTGGCGCCTGGCACCTGACTGAAATAAGGCTCGCGCGCCCCGACCTACCCGACTGCTCTTCCACAATAACGTATTTTTTTCAAAACTCTGCTAACAAAAAAGAGGTCGGACGGAGGCTGAGCAATAAAGAAATGATTTGATGAAACAGGCACTTGACAGGTGGCTCGCGTCGCATCCTCGCATGCAGCACTTAATTGTTGGTTGCGCTTACGTTGACGGCGCAGAGGATGCACTGAAAAATGGCTTTTAAGTATTAATGCCTACAAATAAGCGGTTGCTCCCTATGTGACATTAAAACCCTTGCATTAAGAATTGCAATAGTTAGTTGAGTAGACCGGTCTGCTTCTGAGGATGGGGTATCGGGTTGGCTACAGGTTCCCGGGTGAACTATTTACTGGTAAATACTCAGTAATGTGATTTGTGCCTAAACTGAGATTAACTAAATGTACGAGGCTTAGATTTCTCGTAGCGGTGCGCCCCGCCCACCGCGCGCTATTGGCCGCCATCTAGAGCTGGGCGGAGCGTTGCTTAGATACTAACTTAGAAGCCTTTTTAACGTCAATCTAATATTATTTATTTACAAAACGATTCATTCATTTAGTTTAGAGCTTTAATGAAAATTAAAGTATAATAATGTAAACTTACGACGACGTATTGTATGCGATCGATAGTTTTACAATTAATTAATTATTTTTTGTTTTTAACATAATCCATTTTCAGAGTTCTTGTTTGAATTCGAGGTCAAAGTTTCGGTTTACTACGTAGAGTTGTGATTTATCGCGTAGCGCGTAGGTTGATCAACTAGTTAATTCTACCTTAGCGATTTTATTTTTCATGTGTTGAAAAGAAAAGAAGAGAAACAATGTATACTCAAACATTTTATAAATCAAACAGTTTCAGGAGACGGTGATTTTGTTGTTGTAGTTTGACAATTGGAAAAAAACGCTGCACTATAGATTTTTCTAATTAATAACTACTATAGATGAATTTATGTACTTTAAGTGTGAATGTTGGTTTGTTCAATATAGACAGTGCGATCTACGTTTTCGAAGTTTGTGTAGAGTTTGTAGAGTACTGGGACAGAGTTTTGTAGTTTACGTAACGACTACGATTACGATAGCTTGTGCTTATCGTAATCGTATGCAAATATGCAATACATTTACCGCTATCACAATACAGTTTAGACTAAAAGTTAAATAACACCATGGAGGCGTTGTATTTAATCCTATTTAAGTTTGTAGCCCTGCCTTCAAGCAGATTGTAAAGAGATTATAATATGATTGTTTATTTATTTATACGTAAATCAACAGAATATACAATCATAAATCCTCTCAATTGTAGTTTTCAGTTTTGTTACAAATAAATCAGAGTGCGTTAACTAACTTTACTTGTTTTAATCTTCATTGACTTGTACCTTAAATATTAGGAGCTCCAGATGTAGCTTTCCCACGTTTAAATAATATCAATTTCTGACTTTTACCACCTTCTTTAACTTTATTAATTTGCACACATACAATGCCTAGGTGGATTTAATGGCAAAGGCATTAGCGTAACAAAATTATGAATGCTGAATATGAATGAATACAAAGATTTCACGAATGAATTAATGATAGACTTTAATTCTCAGCTTATTAGAATATTGTCTTTCATTAATCACATTTCCAGCTGATCAAGCGATTGTAATAACAATCTCGGGAAATTCAATTAGCTGGATAATCTGCTTTGGTTGCTACGTGTTTCGTTACACGAGGAAACGTAAGGCTTCAGGTGGGGGAAGTGCTTCAGCGAGTGCAGGCCTCGCGTGCAGTGCGGGGCGCGGGGGCGCGGGGAGGGTGGCATGGGGGCTGTAAACATAACGGCGAGCGCGTGTCAGGGCGCGGGGGGCGCGCGTCACGGCCCGTTAGCGCGGATCCTCGGCGCGTGCACATGTCGCCCCGGCACGCGCCCGCGCCACTTTTTATCCTTATTTTTTTCTGTTGCCGTTTTTGTTTTCTCCCTTTGTTCGAAATACGAATTAAAGCCTCTATTTCGATTTCTGGGTGAATTAATGAAGCCGGGTTTAAGATATCACGATTGTACGTCCGATAAGATTTTGTTATTCATTCATAGTTCGTCGTGACTTTAATTTTGGATGCCTCAAAGTTATGGCAACCTGTCCATTTTATCTGATTGTTCATAAACACGATAATAAAATTTTTAAGTCAGTCTGGTCTCATCTCTAATTTTAGCTGGTGATTTAAAATTATCACATAAATCAAAAAAGCGGACAGAGTGGTATTTGCGTCGGAGATATACATATATGTATATATTGGATAGAAACTATGCAAATCTTTAAACACGTTCATAAAGTATGCGAGTACACGGTTGATAGATAAGTAAATCAAAATAAAACAGTTGAAGGGTAGATGCGTATGTTTCAGCTGCAGGCGTGCAGAACCGGTCAGAGGCGCGCGGCGCTGCGGTGCTGCGCTGGCGCAGTGCAGGCGGCTGACGCTGTCGCCGTGCGCCATTCCTTACAGTCAACTTTTATTAATTGGGCAGATGAGAGCCACGGCTTCCATGATGAATGCTTATCCCTTATACGGCCAGCAGTTCGCGAAACCTTTTATAGATTCTCAATTAAAAGTGTCTATTATAGTTAATAGGACGATCAGACATTGCAGCGTTTATAGGAACAAGAATATTTGCTTTAAGTAGGTATGTATAAAAACAGGTATTATAACGGAAAGGACGATTAAGTGGAATAAAATATAGTGTAGGGGTGCGGGTGGCAGGTGGCTGCGGCTTAGGGATGCACCCATTGTTCCGACTCATATCGACACACCGTTGATTTAGTCACATAGCCTACAGGCCTTGTTTCATACGTAGAACTTAGGAATTCAGACAAAACAAATAGATAGGCTCTGAAATCTTTTTAAAAGCTCTTTTTCTTCAATCTGTAGTATATCATTACCATTTTATATCCAAGTTGGAATTCCAAACGTTTACGTAGATGTAGGTCGTAGATCTATAAGAGAGTATTTTAAAATTAAATAAAATGATGCGCTTTAAGGAATCTTAGTTAATAAAGATGCTGGTATGCCGTGGCTATAATTAATGTCGTGTTTATCAGCTTGTAGGTATTGGTTCCATTCCGTAAGTATTCACTAGTAGAATTCTTAACATTCCTCTACGTGGCTATGTTATTTTAAGGTTTCCTATTGGACATACAGTTTGAAATTATCATTCCTTAGTAGATAGAGATACGTTTACTCTAAGAACATTTTTATATAACAACTATCGTGAGATATACTAAATTAAATGTATTTTATGCTGTATAGTTTACTCATGTAAACTGTTCAAAATAAGCTCTTGTCGTCGTCGTACAGTCAAACGTCATCTACTCAAGAATATGAGTCCCGGCATGGCTTGAAACTGGTAAAGATTTCCTCGAATAGTTCACTCGAGTAAGTTTCATTTCCATAGAAAATTATTATTTATTTCTTTATCTGGACTAATTTGTTAACAGTTGTAATATTTCAGTTTCCATCATAGTATGTTAAACATTATCTACGTACATTTCATAAAATTAAGCTTTTTTTACAAGATTTGCGTGCATATTTCTAATAATAAAATCTCAGTTATCGATAACTGGAATCAAGTGGCGTCGCGTCTAAGGCGCGCACCCCAGTGTTGAAGACAAGATTCAGCACGCGAGTCGGCGCGCTGCCTGCGCCCGCGCCATGTGTCTTTAACGGATTTATTGGAACGCCTGCGCGTGCGCGTCGGCTACTAGAAACCTCCTTTATTTACCGACTGCGTGAACACTTTCGCTAAGGGTTCTTTTATAAAGAAAACGGTAGTTAGGTTGCGTAAGAAATATAGAAGTCTATGCGCTGTCTCAGGTACTTTTTAACATCTATGCTCGGACCTGAATTGCATGAATGGAAATAACACTTGGCTTCTATCCAGTATTAAAACTACTGCGACATTTACCAAAAGCTAGTTATTGATAAGTACAGAGTCAATATATCAACGTAACACTATGTTGAATAATTTAATTGTTTCGTCAGGTGTAGCTTATTATACGGACCTTGTGGAATCTAGAACAAATTTTCGTGCGTTTAGGCGCTTTTGCCATACCTATTATTGGAAGCAAGTATAACAGCTCACACATAGGACCCACTTAGTTTTTTAGTCAAATTTCCGTGGTGCTTGGCGACTGGGCTTCACCCAGTTGTACAGTCTCTTCTTTGTGCCTTTAGGCTTAATTCATTCTGTTTCCTGCCGTAATTCACCGAGGGAAGTGGAAACTATAGTTTTTTCTTCTACTCCACTTATAATATCTTCTGATTCACTTCGTTGCGGGAACCAAGACAGTTACTCATGTCCCTGGGACGCGCCGGACTTCAATGTTCCGGTGTTTTCATGGTTGTATCTATTGTAGATCCTGGCTTACAGGAGTTGCAGCGGTTTTGGGAGGCTGTGGCGGGCTTGTCCCATTAAATAAAAAAAAAGTACAGAGTCAAGTGAATAGTACGTACCTACTCAATATATTCATCTAATTGAGAAAACAAAGTAATGTCATAGTAGTGGTTTCAGAAATTTTCTTTAATGCTAATTTTCTTTAAATAGTAGTAGAACAGCTTATCCGTAGAAGGTTGCATATTTCTTATTACATGCATATGTATGCGCTTGTTATTCTGAAGTCTAAAGGAAAGGAATTTTTGACAATCTGTGCACCATTTTATAGTTTAAACACCCGTTGTACGGGAACAGTATCAATTTGCATATCTTAGCAGTTGGGGGCCTACAGTTAGGTGGCGACTGCACCGAGTCATATGGCGGGCGCTGGCTGAAACCGTAAAAGCTTGCAAAGTTTGCGCATGCGCACAAAGCGTATTGTGGCGCGGACGCGCCGTGGCATGGACGACACGCCCGCTCATTACGAGGAAAAGCAGCTCTCCTCTCCGCTAATT